AGTCTTTCCTGGGGAGCTTGAATTACTACAACAAGTTCATTGAAGATCTCCCTGTGGTTGCTGCGGTACTCTATGAGCTGACGGATGACCAAGTTCGCGCGGACCGAGACCTGTCCAGGGCTAAGGAGGCGTTTGAGATCCTGAAACGCAAGATTATCCCGACCCCTCTGCTCCGACACCCCGATCGCACAAGGCTGTATGTCATTATCCCGCACGCCGACCCGTGGGCTGCATGCGCAGGCCTAGGTCAAGTGTACGACGGTGTGATTCAACCTGTGCGGTTCACGGGACGCGTCTTGAATGAGTCTGAGATTCGGTACCATGTTGCGGAGAAGGAAGTGGTGGCGGTTCTAAGGGTGTTGGAGCTGTTCAGGCCTTTGCTTCAAGTTTCAGAGTTTCCGTTGCTGATCTACACTCGGTACTCCGCTATGAGGTGGTTGCTCGGCTCGAATTCCGCTGATTGCCGGTGTCTGAAGTGGGGCTTGGAACTGTCTCGGTGGTCGTTGGAGATTCGGCGAGTTCAGCGCGATGAGGATGGTCTAGCCGCGATTTTAGGTGCAGGTATCACGCCCCGAGAGCACCTGGATGTAATTTCTGAAGAGCTCATTCCAGCCAAGGGACGAATCAAGTCTCCACCTGCGATCAGCATCGAGATGCTTGAAGCTGACTACCAAGGTGTGGTTCTAAGCGCTTTGATGGTGCGGCCAAGACTTCTACACGACAAGGGAGCTGCGGATGTGTGTTGTGGCAGTTGCCTGGATGGACAGTCTTGGAAGCACATGGAATCATGCTGGAAGATGTGACGGTGAATGACGCAGAGTATCATGGATTGCTCAATGGCCTGAAACTAGCATCCGAGCGCGGGGTTCAAGACTTGGTTGTGGTTGGAGACTCGAGGATCGTGATCCAGCAGGCACAAGGTCTCATCAACTGCCATCAGCCTAACTTGCAGCGAAGGCTTGCGGAGTACGAAGTGCTGAGGGCTAAGTTCAAGTCGGTGCAGTTGGTCCACGTCAAGCGCCTCTACAATCAGGCTGCTGATTATCTGACATCGAAGACGTTGGCACTTGGCAAAACGTAGACGGTCGAGAACGCGGATGAGCTGTTACACCTGCAGGTAGTCTCTCGGATCCCAGAACCGGTCATGAAGCCGGATGTCATTCTGAATCCGGAGAGTCATGGTGCTGATGCTGAACCCGAAGCCATTGGAACGGTGAACATTGTGCGGCTGGAGGATTTCGCTGCTGATCTAGGCCCGCTTACCTTCGCCGCACGAGTCCTGACTGCAGTGACTCGGCAATGTTCAAGGGAGGACGACGCGCTACGTGAGCCCATGGGCCCGTGGAGTATCAGGCTGAACGATGGAGGCGTATCAAGGCACATCAGGACGGGGACGCCTTCCTGATGGGAATCAAGAGTTACTTGAGGGGAGAACTTGGCCAGTTTTCCCGTGCTGAAGTTAAGAAGATTGCCAAGTATGCCGACCAGTACGTCCTGGATTCGAGAGAGGTCCTGTATCGCTTAAGTGCTCCGACTCCAGAACGCCCGCGCAACAAGGATTCAGAGCTGAGGTTGGCGGTTCCAGAAAGCTTGCGCCCGGACATGTTACACTACGCGCATGAGGACTATCAAGGCGGACACCAGGGTATCACTCGAACGTATGAAAATTGCGTTCTGAGTTCTACTGGCCCAGGATGTATGCTGATGTCGAAGTCTTCGTCAAAGAGTGCACTGACTGCGCGTCAGCCAAGGGACGACCGGCCAATCCTGGACCTTCGCCTGGAAACATTGAACCCACTCGTCCGTTTGAGGTCGTGCCCATGGACTTCGTAACGCACCTGCCCAAGTCGGAGCGTGGGAACACGTTTCTCTTGCTGTTCCAAGATGCGTTCTCTGGGTATGTGATGTGCAAGCCCATGAGTTCGACCACAGCCCAAGATGTCGCCGAGGCGTACGAGGAACGGGTCTTCATGAGGTTTGGTGCGAGTTCAATGTTGCGCCATGACCAAGACCCGCGATTCATGAGCGAAGTCTTCACGCGTTTCAGAGAGCTGATGGGTAGCAGGCAACGTGCGACTTTGGCATATCGCCCTCAAGCCAATGGCCAACAGGAGCGGTCTGTCCAGACTGTGGTGCGAAGCATCCGAGCCTACATCGCCGAGTCTGACCAAAGCGACTGGGACGAGCACGCGGAACGCTTGATGTTCGCATTGAATACTTCGTTCGATGCGACTCGGCTTGACACTCCGTTCTATTTAGTCCACGGCTGGGACGCTCGAGGGACGGTTTCAGCCATGCTTGGGCCAAAACCTTCGGGTATCCAGGAACGCACTGCTTACGAGTGGCGCCGCAAACTGCAGCGAGACTACAGCTACGCGCAAGCGTGTGCTGAGGACTTGCAGCGAAAGGCAAAGGTGCTCGATCAGCAGCCCAGACTCATAAGTGGATGGAGTTGTCGGAGCGTCTCAAGGCTGGTTTCAAGGAAGGTGATGCCGTCTGGCTCTACATACCCAAGGATCAACCAGGGTTGAGTCGGAAGTTTGCCCACCTGTGGCACGGACCATTCCGAATTGAAGAGGTCCATGACGATGTCAGGGTCAAGCTCAAGGTGAAAGACACTGGCTATCGCGTGAACCCTTGGGTGTATGTAAGCCGCCTGAAACCGCGTGCGCTGTTCCCGAAACGCCCAGCTGAAGAGGTCGATGTGGATGAAGATGATGACTTCGATACTGCCTTGCTTGCTGAAGACAGCTGGGAGCCGGACGCTGCCAATGATGAGTACGAGGTTGAGAAGATCCTCGATCTACACTGGAAGAAGCCCACTCGGACCTCTCGACGTACCCGCGAGTATCTCGTCAAGTGGAAGGGCTACGAAGAAGCAGAATGGCTGCCAGTCACTCAGTTGAATTGCGGTGCCCTCCTGTACGAATTTAATCAGGGAGCTAGAGCGCGAGCTCGCTTCCAGGCGATGCAGGCAGGAGATGACCACCCCAGCGTGTAGCGTCCTTCGGGACGCACATGCCCGGAAGCAGACCGCTGAAACCTGTGGAGTGATTGCCCAAGCCCTGAAACCGATCTGTGACCAGAAACGATGAAGCTGTATTGATCTGTGTTACGCTCTAAGTGTGACCGGTTCGTGCAGTATGATGGAGATTACGATTGTGACGTATGTGGAGATGTGAATGGCAGTGTGTGGTGCCAGCGTGTGACTTCGGTGGCGGTGTGGAGTTTGAAGACAAGTGTTAAGATGGCCTGGGGAGCAGATGATGAAGGTGACAGACAAGGAAACGCAAGTACTGGAAATGCAATGGGATGTTTTGGGTCAGGTGAAGAAGCTACGCTACGACATGCACGTACAACAAGGCGACTATTGCGTCCAGAGTGTCCGGAGCAGACCTCGGTCCAGAGATTCACTCGTTGTCGGCACGCCCAGGGACGATCCAGTTCGTGGAGCGCTTCGGTTCCGGAATGAGCATAGTGCTGCGGATCTCAGCCGGCACGTGCGCAATGCGCTCAGCATCCGTGAGGAGGTTGGACCAGAGAACATGTGCAGGCTCGCGGAAGTCCAATTCCACCAGTTGCAGAGAGAGAGAGGCTTTGGCTTGCCCTCGACCCCCACGACGCGAGGGTCTTCCCAGATCCAGTTGCACTTGCGGGTCGGAAGAGGCCAGAGTCCAGGCTCATGGAACATGGTGTCAGGAAATCCGGGAATCACTCGCAATGTCTTGACCTCTTGCACATAGCGGCGAAGCAGCGCATCTGTTCGAGATCGGCGCTTCTGGTGAAACAGGAACGAGTCCTTGTTGCTGTCCACCTTGACTGTGACCCAGTGCAACAGTTCCCACCAAGCCTGACAGCATTCGCCCATGAAGACTACATACCCCGAGAGGCCAGCCAGGATCGCTGCGTCCAGCTTGTCGACATCGTAGAAGTAGAATATCTAGCTGCTCTTGCGCGTGTGCTCGCGCGCGCCCAGGGCGCTCCGGGACAGCGGCATTAGGCGATGTCTCGAGTGGGGAGTCGCGCGCACCTGTCGGTGCGTGCGTAGCGGCAACAGGGCCATCGCTCACTGTTCCGCTGTCGCGACCGAAGCGCACGAGAGTGCGCTTCTCCCAATCGATGACCGGATCATGCCGTGCAAGCCACGGCATGCCCAATACAATGTCGAACTTATCGTCCAGATCCAGGACGATAAAGGCCTCGACAAACTCTTGATCTTCATATGTGAAGCGCACGCGTACCATGCGCTTCTCGGTCTTCACGACGGCACCCGTTGCCAGTCGTACTTCCAACATACCTTGAGGTATCTTTAAATCCTCGAAGACAAGCCTTGATAGACTTCGCAGTCGAACAAAGTTCTTCGACGCACCAGAATCTACTAAAGCATGGAGAGAGCCGCTTGCTCTCATCGAGTTCACCTTCAGGATGACAAGGTCAGGCTTTTCATCTTGGTTCTTGCAGTGAGAATGAATCTCACTGGGGGCTGCAGTCCTCGGTGTCGCGTGTCCAAGGTCGACACGCGGAACGGCATTACCAGTAGGGCGCCCCGCGCCTACTGGCGTCCAGCGTTTTTTTGTTTGGTTGCGACGGTGCCTGGCACCGCCGCGATAGCCACCCTGGTGGTGCACGGGGGCCGTGCACTCCCGAGCAAAGTGACCGACTCTACCGCAACGGTAGCATCGCACATTGTTTCCCTGCGACTGCTGGGGTCCAGCAGTTCCAGCACTCGAGAGGTCCATGGGTTCTGGGCCTCCCGCCCTCACTACCGGGCGTGGCTGTGGTCTCGGCACATGTGCATGCAGCTTAGCCTGCCGCAGGCTAAACTCCTCCTGCGTTGCAAGAGTAATTGCAGCTTCGAGAGTACTCAGGTACTCACGGAAGAGATAGGTCTTCATAGGCCTATCTCTCAGCCCCTTCATGAACGTGACGACCTTGGTCGCCTCGTTGATCGGATTGGTCACGATGTTCGAGACCAAGTATCGTGCTCTCTGAGCGTAAGCATGGACATCATGCTTGCCTTGCTGCAGGTCGAGAAACTCCGCCCTCGACCGGAACTCGTTTTGCGGTGGCTCAAACGCTTGTCTGAGCTCTTCCTTGAAATCCTCGTACGTGCTAAAGCACGTAGGATCCGAGAGTCGGCGTCCATACGCCCAACTTCTCAGGTCGAGCTAGACAGTGAGGGCGAAGCCGCTGCAGGCGGCGATTGTTACGTGGCGGCTATTGCTAAGGTCGGCCAGTTCAAGCGTGACCAAGTGGAGTCGATGAAGTGGTTGTGGAACCTACAAGCTACATGCCGTGATGCTGTAATTTGTTGCTCGTGGCTTCACCACGAGGTAAGAGCTGCTCGTGCCCCTCCCTCTCCGTGTGCCGGTGCATTCACCGAGCTATTGGAGAACTGGCCGTACAATGAACTGCGTGGCTTCGGATTCGACCTGACGTACTCGGATCAGTATTGCTTCCGCGACTCGGCCTGGCTAAATGATGACGCGATGAAGGCATTTGCTGTGGCGCCGGCTAGCTACAAGAACAATGTGACGATTACGGCCACGCCGCAAGGGCATGGTGAGACTACACAGCAGAAACGAAGTCGTAAGGGCCTGCTTTCATCCAACACACTGGAGGACGTCATTGCAGGTGTTTCGACGTGTGCATTTGTGCTGCTGCCCGTCAATTTCGGGGGCACTCACTGGGGATGTCTCGTTGTCGACCGAGATGCCAAACATGTGAAGACGTACGACAGCAAGAATGGCAAGCGCAATAAGCAGAGGTTGAAGAAGATCGCGAGTGAGATTATTGCTGCAGATGCGACTATGGCGAGCTACACGACTGTCGAGGTGACCGAGCCTCTTCAGTCCGACAGTGATAGCTGGTGTTTTCGTGTGTCGCTTCTTCTGGACCTGTGTTAGCGACGACGCTCCAAGTGATGTAACGCCGACGGGTATCACCAAGCTACGCTGGGCAATGTTGGAAGCAATCCTGAAGACGAATCGTCGCTAGTCGCAAGAGGATGACGGAGGCATAGTGCATTTTGAGGCTAAACTCAATACATGGACACTACGTGGATGACATCTGGACAACACCTGGAGTTACGTGATGGAGCCATACTTGAGTGATGGCTTCACTTGGCGGTTCTCGCCATGCCGACGGAAGTCGACGCTCATCACTCTGTCTTTTGCTCAAGTAGCGCACACATGAGTATTCCAGGTATTGATACCTGCACGAAACCCGGACTCTACTGCTGAAGACTGATTGGCTAGAGCTCTTCCGACACGAGCCGAGCGCCGTCACTTCCATTTTTGCTCAAGTTCCGCACATATGATTCTTCCAGGTTTTCCACGCGCATTATACCTTGTCAGGTAATTTATGTCGGTCGCATAGATTACTTTCATCGGATTCGGCAGGGTTTCGAAAAACCTGTAGATAACCTGGAATAAAACTTGGGCAATACCTGTGGAATCAGTTTTCTGAGAAAAATCTGAATCTGGGAAACCTGGGCGCTAAGGCTGTCCTTCTCATTTTAACCTGGACTCGGCCAGGGAGTTTCCTGGGGTTGTTGTGCTGATAGCTGCCAAATTCGTCCAGACTACCATGCCTGAGTCACGCGAGCATGTTCTAGTCACGACTACGCGAGAAAGAACGCCGGTGTGCATACAATGTTCTTGTCGCTTCCTCTCTTCTGGACTCCTGCTTTATGTGATAAGGCGCATCCAATGGGTGCTAGGCGTCAGTGGAAGTTTTATGAACAAACTCGTCTCAAACATGTTCCGTACACATTCTCACTCCAGTTCGGAAACGAATTGGTGGATTGAACTACAAGCGATTGCTGCCTATTACGACGACGAGTGCGGCGATGGTCAGACAATGACGTTGCTCGCCTAAGTCGCGAATGTGTTGAGCGCGACGGCCAGCACAAATTTCTCGTCTCGATAGAACCTGGATGACACCAGGCTGTTGCTTTTACTCACCTAAGCACACCAATTTGCGAGTCCAGCTGAGACTAGCACTACTCTCTATTCGTCTATCCAAGGCGATTCTGTAGTTTAGATGCGAGGTTCATCCTACCGTGAGCACCGATCAGTTCGTGGATTGGTTTTCCACGTAGCCGTCCGAATTTTGGGTCTGACTGGCATTTGCTTCGAAACCTATTTATTCTGGGGGCGAGTTTTTGTTTCTGAGTATCTAGAAGACGAATTTTGGGCGGATTTACAGTTCAGTCTTCCACTGTGATCCCAGCCTCACATGGTCCCTTCAAGCCGTCGAACTTTCCGCTCGGAATTCCTTCTTTTGAAATGTATCCACCCATACTTCGCCCAAATGCGCTCAGGATTAATCTTTTCCTTCCGCTTTCCATAGTACGCGGTGCCAAACGATCCATCCGCAACATGCTTCCCTAGCTCCAATTGGTGAGCAGGTATTGAACCACGCCCATATAGCGATACCGCATCATCCAGTTGCACAGCACTTCAGTTCGTGTAGTCTGCCCTCCGTAGCTTATGATGAAGCAAAGTAACCGAGTTTGAGTTGGCTTAGAAGAGGCCATGGTCATAAGAAAATACAGGCTTAGAGCACACCGTGCTCCCGCCGTTGGGGATACGCTTCTTGACACGCAGGTTGCACTGGGATTATCAAGCAGGAATCGATCGAGGTCGCGGTTAACTCCTTAAGTCCGCACTAAGTAATGTAAATTCCCAAATAATACCCCTTACCCGTATAGTACCCTCTAAAACGTAACCCACTGCGTAACCCAGGGTTACATGGTTACTTCATTACAAATACCAAGTATAATTTTGTGGGCTTATTGTCGAAAGCATATTTAGCATGGAATACTGTATAATATACGTAATTTATCAGATTTTGTTTGAAAACGGGAGGGTGCTAATAAATAGTGTCCGGGGTATTAATCGGTAATTTCCGTTAGTTTCGATTTGCTATGGCTTGAGACTCTCGAATCACTATCAAAGCGTAGATAAGAGAGATAATTTACCCACATATGACGGTAAATAAATCCTCGAACGTGCAGACAATTGCTGCATGAAGTCTCCAATTTCAGATCAATACTTACGTACACCTCAATGCGCTCATTTTACTCTTGAGGCAGAAGCACCAATCTGTAAAATTCCCCGCTGCAGAGTCAATCGAAGGTCTCAGTAAGCTCCTCACGAGAAGGCCCCAGGGCTTTTGAATCCGCAACCACTCATGAAAAATCTGGCTGGATACGAGCACGAGCTCCGAGGATTAGTTGCTTAAGTGAGCAAAATGCACCTCGATAAAATATGGAGTATCATGAATATCCTAAACATCCTAAGAATCAATCAGGGTGTCGCTGTCCGTCTGAGAGTAGATCACACTTATTCACTAAGTACGAAATTTACTGCTGCCGAGCGCAGCGAAGTCGGCTCCGTCGCCGAAGGCGGCCCCACCATACGATATTGCGGGGCCGCAGGACCCGCCCCGGTCTCTGTAATACTAACCTGACATTGAGAGTTGTGCAGCGAGCCGACGAGGCGAGCGGAACGGGTCCGCCACTGCCGTAGCGAAGCGTAGGCAGCCTGCTCCAATAGCGGAGTGAGCATAGCGAGCGAAGCGCCAACTAACTAAGAATGACCGCCGCGTAGCGGCGGCACTCGGCTAGTCCTAAGAATCAATCAGAGTGTCGTTGTCCGTCTGAGAGTAGGTCACACTTATTCACTAAGTACCATTTCCACTAATTACGATTAGCTGCCGAGCGCAGCGAAGGCGCACCCAGAAAGGCCCCCAGTAATGGCACAAACAACAGTTGCTGCCGAGCGTAGCGAAGGCGGCCCATTGGTCAATAATCGGAATTAAAATGATTGGTCTATATTTTGAATACCACCGTTTCACTTCTCCAATGGACCCGTTCAACTGATCTACCTGCAAGGCACGCATTGTGCCGCCACCGCTCGGCATGGACCGCCTCGAGCTGAAGGCGTGCGGATGCTGCAAGGCCCTGCTTGCCGGCAGCGCCTTTGCGAAGCCCGACGCCAGGGCCGGTGCTTGCCGTTGTAAGGCGTGTGCCAGCGGGCCGGACGTGCAACAGTACTGGCCGGACGTAAGCACACCCGCGGTGCCCACGCTGCCGGAGCCGCGGCCAAACCCACGCCAGGAACACATGACCCTGGTGGCTGCGACCATGGGCCCGCCGCCGTCGCCGCCGCCTCTTCCTCCCAACGGCGAGAAAAAGCCACGCAGACGCGCGTCCGCAGCAAGAACCGCTATCGGGCGAAGCACAACAAGAAAGCGTAATATAAAATAGAGCGTTTTCATTGGCTGAAATTTGTTATGGATACTTAGTCGTTAATTAGCTGCCACTTAGATTATGTTGACCACACCAATTAAGTGGTCCACTTTAGAAAATACTTTTTGGCGCCATTTTCAAAGCTCGAGGCGCGGCAGCGAGAGATCAGACAAGGTACGCTGCGTGTATGCATGTAATACTGCATATTAGCCTCCGCCAATACACACAGATAATCCGAGGCTCCTGGCAAGGGCCCTTAAGGGCCCGGTGCTGGTTATAGGGCATTTCGCCCAGCGTAAGCTGGGAGGTGCTGTGCAAGGGGCTCCGGCCCACCGCCCACTCTGAGCGAGAGCACAAATAGCGCCTGCCAATTGGCCATAAATATCACTAAATCAGTACCCGCCAGTTGAGCCGAGCTATTTAAACCAATCAGGGTCGGTTAACCTGTGGGGGCAAAGGATATCGCACGAAGCCACTTAGTACTGCCCGGCCGCCCAACCCGGACCTGCCGACTTTAAAAATGACTCCGCTCCGGGCCGTCAGGCCTGTGACTGTGGGTACGTTGTCGGTTACTTCGTTAAGAGACAGTAAACCTTGAAGGGAGCATGCGCACCCGGGCAGTACGAAAAGACGTCCACAAGCTACTCGGCAATAGAACGGTTGCTGCAACGTGCAGCGTACTTAGGCTTTATGTCTAACGCGTCACAGTTACGTGTTCGCAGGCATGGCTCGAACTAAACGGAAGAGGACTCGCGCGGAGATTGAACAGGCGTGGAGGGACTATCAGCTCGCAAACGGCCCCCCAAGTGAACGCGAAGAACCCGCTGCAAAGCAGCGAAGGCGCAGTCGGATAAGTAGCCACAAGACCAGATTAAACAGAGAATTAGCTGCTTTAGAAGATGGTGGAAGCCGTCTTGAAAGTGTCGCCCCTCGCACTACAAATGAGCAGAGCGTGCGTGCCTACAACGCGGCACAGCAGCGCGCGCGTCGGGCAGGACTGCCACAGGTCACACGCGATGCAGAGCGTGAACGCCACTCCATTCGGCAGCGTGTGGCGCGAGCAAGCCTCTCGGAAGACTAGCAAGTGGCTGCTCGCGAGAGGAACGCAAGCCAGCGCCAAGCGTTGCGAGCAGGGATTTCTCAGGACGAGCAAGACGCTGCACGCGAACGGAACACCGAGCGTCGCCGACAATTACGTGCTGCACTCGCTACAGAACAAGAAGACGATGAAAACGACGAAGACCGTGCTCGACGCAAAGAGGAGCAGGATGAAGCAAGAAAGGAGGCCGCTCGGATTCGTCGCAAGTGTGTCCGTCGAGGCCATGCGCTTGCAAACCACGAGAACTTCAACAAGTCCAGGGTGTCGGGCAAGAACATATCCAACGGCCACCACGTGCTCCCCGCGTTGTATGAGTGCGGATTTTGTGGAGCTTGGAAGTGGCCTGGTGAATCGGAGGTGTCTTGCTGTCGTGCGGGTAGAGTGCGTCTCGCTCCGTTGCTCCGAGTTCCGTACTATCTACTCGAGTACTACAAAGATCCGGAATTTAGGCGGTTGATCCGAGCCTACAACCAGGTTTTCGCTTTCACTTCAATTGGAGTCGCGCGCAGTGACGGTGTTCGCGTTCGGGGCGTACGGGAGGATACTTCGGTCCAAGGTCAACGCGGTGTGTACACGTATCGAGTCCAAGGCGCAATGTGTCATTATTTGGGGTCTCTGCTTCCACGCATGGAGCAAAATGGTGCGGACTTCACCCCAGCCAAGTTTGCGCAGATTTACATCGTTGACGACGACCTGAAAAGGCGAGCGGAGCGGCGAAAGGGGATTTTTCATGAGCTGGATGTGGAAAAGCTTATGACACTCGAGTGAATGATGAAAGCTTACAATCCGTTCGCTCAGCAGTTTCTATCGCACGCAGACAAGCTCCGACAGAACATTGAGGAAGGAAAGAGTGTCCTAGACCTGAAGTATGAGCTCCATGCCAACAAACGCAGGTCGTGGACTACCAACTTGCCCACCGTGAACGAGGTTGGAGCTGTCATGGTTGACGACGGAAACTTTAAAAAGGAGAGAGACATCGTGTTGCACACGGCTGCGGAACAGCCTCCTTCGCATTTTCGAAACGAACCCGATGTATGATCCGCTTCAGTACCCGTTGTTTCCGCGGGGTGAACTTGGGTGGACATACACGGACCAGTACGCCGATGGTAAAGAATATCGCCGTAACACGAAGATGTCTCTTCGGGAACATGTTGCTTACAGATTGTTCCCTAAAGAGGATGGTTCTGTATTGCACCAAGGCGGGCGTCTATTTCAGCAATGGTGTGTCGACCAGCGGGCAAAGGTGGAGCAAGAAACGTTACGGTGGATATCGAACAACCAAAAAACGCTCCGGGCCGATCTGTACACAGGTGTCAAGGACGCTTATCTGAATGAGGAGCCGACTGAATTGGGCGATGTCGACGCGACCTTTTCAGAGTTCAACCGCAACACTCAAACACTGGAGCGCGAGCCACACTTTCTGAACCGCATTGGGCAGAAAATCATCCTTCCCGCGGCATTTACCGGCGGCCCCCGTCAGATGTATCGGTCGTACCAAGATTCTATGGCTATTGTTCGCGAATTCGGCAAGCCGGACATTTTCCTGACAAAGACTTGCAACCCCGAGTGGGAGGAGATTGTTAGTCAACTTCCTGAAGGTCAAACAACTCAAGATCGTCCGGACATTGTTGCTCGCGTTTGGGACCAAAAGCTTCGGTCACTTCTGGTTGATTTGGACGAGGGGGTGCTGGGACGCGTTCTGGCTCGGATTCACGTGGTCGAATTTCGAAAGCGGGGTCTTCCACACGCCCACATAATCATCATACTGGCCGACGAGGACAAACCACGTGCCCGCGAGATCATTGACAAGTTGGTCTCCGCTGAAATACCGGATGAGGCTACAAACCCCGAGCTGTATAAAACGGTTATGACTTGCATGATGCACGGTCCGTGTGGAAGTCAGAACCCAAACTGTGTCTGCATGAAGGACGGCCGCTGTACGAAAGGGTTTCCTAAGCCTTTGATCGAGGTCACTCGCGCAAACGTTAACGGATACGCTGAGTACAGGCGTCGTCGTCGTCCTGCGGGTGTGCTAAAGTTTCGCAACCGTGAGTACGACAATGAAACTGCCAACCCGTGGGTTGTACCGTACAACCCCTACCTCTCTCAGAAGTACAACTGCCACATAAACGTGGAGGTGTGTACCGGTATCACAGCCGTGAAGTACCTTTACAAGTACGTGTACAAGGCTTCAGACAAAGCTGTACTCACTGTTCAAGCAGTGCGAAATTGTTCTCAGGGGGGCTTGAACCCACGCTACGAACCAAACGAGGTGATTCGATACCTGAATGCTCGGTATATATCGCCCGTTGAAGCCTGCACGCGCCTTCTTGGACACCCCATTCAAGGAAAGAGCCATTCCGTGGAGCAGCTTACTGTGCATCTGGAGGGGAAGCAAGTCTTTGTGTTTCAATCTGATGAGGATCCAAACGACGTAATTCGGCGTGGTGGTGACACGATGTTGACGCGATTCTTCGAGCTTTGTGCGAGCGATGCACATGAAAACCAAATAGCGAAGACTATGCTGTATCAAGACATCCCAAGGAAATTTTGCTGGAAGGACAAGCGGTGGGTTCGGCGTAAAAAATACCAGGCAGCACTCGGAAGGATGATTCACATTTCCCCAAGGGACATCGACCGTTTTCATCTCCGTGTGATGCTGAGCCACCGCAGGGGCCCGACTTCATACAAGGATTGGATGACTGTGGACGGTGAGCTGTGTGCTAACTTCAAGGATGCTGCGGTTCGTGCGGGTTATCTTGACAATGACGCGGAATGGTACGCCTGCATGACTGAGGCCGCGAGTTTCGAGATGGCGCCCGAATTGCGCCAATTGTTCGCTACAATTTTGGTGTATTCCATGCCAAGTAATGTTCGAGCATTGTGGATCCAGTTCTTCGATGATCTGTCGGAAGACTTCGCCCGCACGCATCACAAGGTGATGGAGCCGATTAGAACCCACGTCGTTATGTTCGAGACTTTGAAAAATATGCAAGATCTTCTCCAGGTTAGTGGGTACAGTGTGGCCGACTTTGACCTTCCTCCATTGAAGCATTTCCCGGAGTTGGTGAAGGATTCGCTACTACAAAATAGCCTTATTCGTCGCGAGTTAACTGGTTACAACAACGCGGCATTGGAAGAGATCGTTCGCACGGAAGAGCAGCTCAACGCCGGGCAAAGGGAAATTTACGACCAAGTCATTGGAGCGGTCAATCAGCCTGAGATCAGCAACAAGCTGTTCTTCATTGATGGTCCTGGGGGGACTGGGAAGTCTACTTTACTTCGGAATATCCTTGCAAGGGTGCGCCTTGATGGGAAGATAGCTATCGCGGTTGCGTCAAGTGGTGTTGCGTCTCTCCTTTTAATGGGCGGACGGACGGCGCATTCAACATTCAAGATCCCGCTGAAATTGCACGAACATTCGATTTGCTCCATATCCAAACAGTCTCACTTGCGAAAATTTATTGAGAGAGCCAGCTTGGTGATCTGGGACGAGGCACCCATGACACATCGCCACGCGTTTGAAGCGGTAGACCGCACCCTTCGGGACGTGATGAACAACGACCGCGAGCCGTTTGGAGGAAAGGTCTTTGTTATATCGGGAGACTTCCGGCAAATTTTGCCTGTTGTTAAGAGGGGGACGCCCGCCGAGACAATTGATGCTTGCCTCAAGATGTCACCGCTGTGGCGTCATTTTCAGCAGGTCCACCTCACCGAAAATATGCGTGTGCGCTCCGCGGATGACGCTACGAGTGCTGAAGACATGCAGGAGTTTTCTGATTTCTTGCTACAAGTTGGAGAGGGTAGACACGAGGTGAACCCCACTCTGGGCGGGGATTACATGAAGACACCAATCGACATGCTCATTGAAAACCCTCCCGACGAGCCCAACCAGGACGCAGAGATTAACCCAGACGCCATCCCACAAGGAATGGAACGAATGATCGATTACATGTACGCCGATGTGAACAACCCCGAGATTGAGACCGACGAGTATTTGCCAACCGAACCATTCTGACGACTACGAACGCCATGGTACATCGTATCAATGCTGCGGTCTCGGAACGACTACCGACCACGGCCCACGAGTATTTGTCAGTTGGCGCGGTGGAGGACGACAAGAGCGGCGATTTTTTTGAGCAGGAGGTGCTTCATACAATCAACATCAACGGAATTCCGCCACACAGACTGATACTTAAGGAGGGGGTTCCTATCATGATGATGAGGAACTTCAATCCTGACCTCGGTCTGTGCAACGGAACGCGCTTACGGGTTGTGGAGCTAAAACCGCATGTCATTCACGCAACCATTATGGAGGGAGAGCGCAGAGGCCAACACGTGCTCATTCCGCAAATTGTATTCGTAAGTGATGATGACACTCGCGACTTTCCGTTTCGGTTACGCCGTAAGCAGTTTCCTGTTCAACCGGCGTTCGCCATGACGATAAACAAGGCCCAGGGACAAACTGTGCTGAATCTGGGACTGTACCTCGCGTCACCATGCTTTTCACACGGACAGCTTTATATGGCTCTCTCTCGCGTTACCGCGCGTTCCAAGTTCAGAGCTCTCTTAGAGTATCCAGACTTAGAAGAAGATGACGGCGCGTACACCAGCAACATCGTGTATAGACAAATTTTTGATCTATAGACAGCTTTATAAAACATATCTTTTGGTTTCGCAGCTACTATTGTTTTCGAAGTTTGTGTGTGAGCATGCCTGGCCAACTCACACTCACCTCTTCTTTGTGTGTGTATGTGTATAGTTAGTGTCAATACTAACAATATAAGTTTGCATCCAAGCTGGTGCAGTGGTCTGACCTCCTAGACTTGTACTGGGGACTGAGGGTTCGAGTCGCACCGAGTACTTTTTTTGACTTGCCATTTGTTTAAAGTATAGACTCTCAGAGCGAAGTTAACGCGACGACCAGGCTCCCGTTAGCCTGTTAAACCCGCCGAAGCGGAGCGGAGGCGTGCTTCCACGAAATGAAGAAGATAAAGAAGAACAACAAGTTTAGTCATGGTTTACTACTGATTGAGTAAGTAAGTGAGTGAAAGAGGTGTGCGTTGAGTAAACCAGCACGTGCGTGAGGTGTGTGTGGAGTAGATTTAGACTACCTGCCATATCGTTTGCATTTCGACAAATTTCAAGTAAGCGTTGGATGGGTAGGTGTGAATGCGTATGCCGCACATGTTGGGCAATTTGGTTTGCTCATAAGTTGCTTTTTGTGGTTGCTATAAAAGTGTGTGTGTGCGATGAGTGTGCAAAGATTCTGACTTACCGTCGTATCGTCTGCATTTCAGCGATTTTCAACTCCAAATGTGCGCGAGTATGCGAATGCATGTCGATCACTTGGTTTTGTTGATAAGTTTTTTTGCGTTTAATATAATTGTTTAAAGAATTTTGTTGTGTGGATCGTGACTTACTCAGTACCACACCTTCTACGAGCCCTGGGGAGAGCCGGGCTCCTGGGCTCTTGGGTGAACCCAAAAAGTCGCGAGCTCGGGCTCCTGGGCTCTTGAGTTCAATAGGTTAAGTGAAAGGAGCCCTCCAGAACTGTGAGCCCTCGTTAAGGGCTCCCCCTCACCTGTGTTAAATATCTCGCTGATGATTGGCCGTCATTGAAGTTTCTCCAGGTTCTAACCTGAAAAGGCATAGGAAAGAGGGCTTCTCCTTGAGGGGAAGGAAGGACTATCGGCGACGCTGGGGTGGCCTCGGAGCGGCTGTCCACATATGAGCGGCGCGAGATCTTCTAGTGTGGCGATCTTTGAGCTCGATCTTCTAGCGTGGCGCATCGATCACGCGAAGTTGCTCGCCTTAAGTCTAGGTAAAATTGGCCAATCAGATATTACTATGAAGAGCCCGTCATAGATTTGAAGCTAAATTTGGGGAGCCCTGGAGGGGAGCAATGGGGAGCCCGAACCAGGGCTCCTTGATCTCGTACTTACCATGAGGGAGCCCATTTTGTGCGACTTTTGGCTCTCGTTTTAGGGGGAGCCCACTTTTGAAGTAGACGGGCTCGGGCTCGTAGAAGGTGTGCTCAGTACTAGCTTTATTAGTATAATTAGTTCGACCATACCCCAAAACCATATAGCCCAGTGGGTTAGTGAGGTGGTATCCAACTCGCACGCTGAGGGTTCAGTCCCCCCAATTATAAAAGTTTTGCACTTGGTTATTGTATGAAATTTAGCCCGCCGGAGCGCAGCGGAGGCGGGGAAGCCACACACCTGGGGCCAAAACTAGAACCACCGCCGCGAAGCGGCGCCGCTCGGCTAGTCAAAAAGAGCAAGACGCCGTCCGTAACGGAATATCACCTGAATTCCGATTGGCTAAAAATGCTGCCGAGCGTAGCGATGGCGGCCCCACCATAGGATATTGCGGGGCCGCAGGACCCGCCCCGGCCTCTGTAATACTAGCCTGACATTGAGAGTAGTGCAGCGAGCCGACGAGGCGAGCGGAACGGGTCCACTACTGCCGTAGCGAAGCGTAGGCTGCCTGCTCTTATAGCGAAGCGCCAACTAACAAAAAATTCACCGCCGCGTAGCAGCGGCGCTCGGCTATTATATATATATCCAGCTTCGAAGCTTGAGCATCATCTAAATCGATTAAGATGATGTTATGGGAAGAAATGACCTAGTCTCTCTGCAGGGTAGAAATCACGATAGTTTTGCAGGCTTTAAATTAAAAGTAGAGGCCCAACTCGGTGGGATGACAGCGGTAAAGTTCGTTAGCAGACGATAGGCATAAATACATACAAGTTTTACGCCCAAGCTCCTATATATGATGGTATTTCTCACCAAGAAATGCGAGTTTCTTTTTTAAAAGTGGTGTATGTTTCATGAGTACATGTAGATGGCACACCTGAGCATTCCAGATGCACCAAACTGGCACCCATCTTGCTGCCTAAAATATTTTGGTCGTTAGATTTTTGCTGTTGTCTATCTTGTTCAACTGAGGCTGACTACTCCCCTGAATGCTGTTCCGGACGGGAAATTGACTCGGTCTTGCTGTCCGCACGGATTTGCCACGTTGAATCTCTCAGAAGCGTCGGACTTGATGCGTTTGGGTGTGGGTCGCACCAGCACCACTGCGTTGCCATCTTGATGGCACTGTCGCTTCCTGCTTCATCTTCTTCTCGACCGCGCTTTCTGCCTCTGAAGACTCCTCGGTGTGTGACTAGAGGAATGTGGCGGTCAAAGGCGACGTCCTCGATCGAATGGAAGTCACTGGAGCGTATGCAAATGTGCATTAGCTCCTCATCTTCATCACTAGAGTCTGCAAGGAGAAGGTCGGGGTCCCGCATGCGCCCAAGAGCACGACTTGCAGAATGGTAGCGACGGCAGGGGTGCGAAGTCGAATGCACGCTCTCCATTTGCGACGATACGGCTGAAACGAACGACTTTAGACACGCCGTTGTTCTTGCAAAGTCTGCCACACATTTCAAAGCGGTTCAACGCATTTAGAACAACTCTCTATGCTTCTTTGCGGGTAGGTTGACGACTTACATCGTGCCACGAATGGGCGAGATCATTTTGCAGGCATCGCAAATCGATTCCCACCCGTCTGAACAACGGAGACCGAGCAAGCTGATAAGCGTGGCGCACTGATAAGAGAATACAATGAACACAATGGAACATTGACACATGCAGCCCTCAGCCTGCTTCACGTTTAACATCTTCCCGCCTTTAAGCCTTTAACCCCCCCCCCCCCGTCAATTCATATTTCTCAACAATTCCAGCCTTCTGAGCTCATTACGGCTTGTGTTGCTCGTCACTGGCCGCAGCCGCCTCAGCGTCGAACGACGCGTGCGTCTGCTTGTACATGTCCACGAGGTGCTGGCCGCTAGTCGTGGGCGGGTACTTGGCCGGGTTCTCGGCGCTCACGCAGCTCGGGAAGCACTCGACCACGCACGTGAAGTTGGGCTCGTAGAAGAAGGGCACCGAGTAGCGCTCCTGGCCCGACGTGTTGACCACGCGGTGTAGCGTGGACTTGAAGCGGCCGTTCGTGAACCGCTCGGCCATGTCGCCGATGTTGACCACGAACGCTTCGGCGCGCGGCGGCACGTCGACCCACTGGCCCTCGTGGCGGATCTGCAGGCCGCCCGTAGCGTCCGTGGACAGCAGCGTGATGAGGCCGTAGTCCGTGTGGGCGCCGGCGCCGAACACGCCGCGGGCCACGTCCGACTTCTCGGGCGCGTAGTGCAGCAGCCGCAGCGCCGCCATGGGCTTGTCGAACATGCCCGGGCCGTCGAAGCGGCCCTTGTGGCCCGCCGCCTCCGCGAAGAGCTGGGCCACGCGGAAGCCCAGCGCGCACATGGCCGCGTGGTACGTCTCCATGGTGGCCTGGAAGGTGGGGAACGCGGCCGCGTCCGGGAAGACGTTGGGCCCGTGCAGCGGCAGCCGCATCTCGTCGCTGTCTGGCGGCACGTGGCGGCAGATGTAGTAGCCCTCCTTGGTGTCGCCCCGGGTCTGCACGGCCGGGTCCAGCGTCTCCTCGTTCATGAGCGTGTAGCCGCGCATCTGCTCGTTGGCCAGCACCTTGCGCTTCTCCTCGAGCGGCTGGCCGAAGAACGCCCGCATCTCGGCGTACACCTGCGCCAGCAGCGCGGCCGGGATGCCGTGGTGCGCCAGGTAGAAGAAGCCCACGTCCGTGCAGGCGCGGCGTAGCTGCTCGGCCGCGTCCGGGCTCGAGAAGTCCACCTCCGGGATGGCCACCATCCTGCAGACTTCGGTATGTGAGCGGCTTCGAAGCAAGATCGAGACGACTGACCAAAGTGAGACCGTGCAGCGCGGCCCGTTTCTGGTCGAGGTCGAGGGCCATTGGTGCGACAACTGGTGCGTTACGTTACGCTGATGCACGTTGAAGTGGGCTGCCAACAAGATACGTTCGTGTTGCCTTACAGGTTCTGCTGCTGCTTCTGCTAGAGTGAGGTATTTGCCGCGTCAGCTTGCTGGGCGAGCATCGTCGCGGTCGCCTTCTTCGTCCGCGACGATGTGGGCCGTGACGAACGTGACGTCCGAGAACTGCAAGTGAACAAGCTCCACGGCCTCGTTGGTGGTCATGAGCGAGACGATGAACATCATGACCGGGCTAGCACCGCGCTCTAGTAGACAGCGTATGGCGGCGCAGAGACGGCGGCCTGACGTCGACACGTCCGACAGCAAGAACACGTTGTGGTAGACGAGACTCGTGGGCAGTTGTGAGCCGACCAGCCTTGGACGACAGTTGTGTCCGTCGTGGCGCCCGAGTCGAAGTAGACGTACCCCGTCGGCTGCTCGGGCCCCATAGTGCGGAACAGCTCGAGCATGGGGTGACCCTCGTCCTTCTCTATGGATACCGCACAGGGCGGGTGCTCCGACTGCAAGCCCGACTCTCTGTGTTGGTCGTCCAACAGGATGCCGATCTTCCGGATAGGTGGCAGTGCTAGTGCTTCCTCCATGAGCAAACGCACGAGCCTCTCGCTCGCGCGCAGTAACTCGACTGACGTAGTGAACTTGTTGCGCAGTGTCGTGAGCAGCAACGCTGCAGCGCGCGACTTCAGCTCGAACATGCCCGTCCTGTCGCGCTCGAGACTGCTTCCTGATGTGGAGCCCAGTACGTGGATGTATCGATTCTTGCTGCTGCTCCATTTCATTGAAGAGGGCATGCCCGCGATCGTGGCCTTTGGACGCGGTTTCCTGGGGTGCTTGGCGAGCGGGTTGCCGTCCTTGCGAGCGAGAACTTCGTCGCGGTGCTTGTTGAGGTTGCAAATGGCCGCACGGCTGACCTGGTACTCCTTCGCGAGCACGGCCTGCTTCTCGCCGCCTTCGATCCGCAGCAGAATAGCTCGTCGGTCGACCTCGCGCAGGTACCGCGAAATTCTCTCGACATGAGGCGTCTCCACACTGGCGTTTGGTACTGGAGTATCCATTTCCATTTCCGTTGCGCACCCAGCTGGGTCTGGTCTTGGGGGTATATCGTAGTTTGACTTTTGTGCCTCATCATCATACGAAGCGTCAGCAGGACTGCTACAGCCACTGCTATTCGGGCTGGTATCCCTACATAATGAAGATATCCCCCACCCTCCGAGGCCGTAGTCTTCCGGTCCATCTTCCCACGCTTTCGAGCCCACCAATAATGCGGCGTCTGAAGACGTTTTCGCATGGCCTCTTGGTGATTGAGCAAGTATTCGCCTTCGACCTCCATTTCGTCCAAGGCGTCCGACGCCGTCGTGTTGCGGCTGTTGTCCGTGTCCGACGCTTGCTTCCACGCTTCAGCCGGCCATATCGCTGTGCTGGGCGCAGTCTCGTTATTGAGAAGCGAGTTCATGTGCGGCAGCGGCGGTGGGCTACCGGGTCCAATATGAGTGGGTGGCGGCGCCAGTCTCGCGTACATCCGCGCGGCGGAGATGCGTGCCCAAGACGGCAGGTGTGGATCGGACGACGCCCGGGGGGAGTGCGGTGTGCTGCAGGCCGCGACCTGGCTGCCTCCTTCGCGGTCCATATCGGGTTGAAGCATAAACCTGGTGTCCAGGCAAGTGGACGTATGCTGTTTGACTGTCAAAACTCGGTCTTGGGTCACGTGTTGCCACTTGAGCGTCTCGTTATCTGCCGGCTTTCGAGTCCGTCGACCGAACAGTGCTGATGCTCGTGACTAAGGAGCAGCAAGGAGGTCTTCGTAAAATGACGGGGAGACGCCATGAGGCGCTGGGGAGACTGCAGTACGTCCAGGATGTGTCCCAAAAAGAGTAGAAGGCTCCAAGAAATGAATACCCACGAAAGCAATCCGAATCGATATGATCGATCAATAAATAGTAAACTTGAATTATAACCTGCGATAATGAATAATTATTGATGTCAAAAGAATCCGAACTTGACGTTCTGAAGCTCCACCCGTGGAGCGTTGTTATGAGCTCGATGAGAGTTGAAGTGCGGCCGTCGCGCAATGAGCGAGGACAAGGCACACGAACTCGGCAACGCGCTGCTCCGATCTGCCGAGTTGTATCGAGCGCAGCAAGACGCCGGCATAAAGCTCGCAGTTGCATGCACTGCGGTGGGGCGTTTGTGATCAAAAGAAAAAGGCTCGGCTCCGAGCATTGGATGGCACCCGTAGATTTCGTCATGGGCGTTCTGGTCGTCGAAACAAGAACGCGCTTGAACTGTGTGCTAGAGCAGCGCGTTCGTGTTGTGGGTCAGAAAGAAAGAAGGTCGACACACCTCGCATGAGGTGCGTTACCGTAAGTTACCGAATGCCTAGAGATGCTTGCAGTGTCCTATCTCGAACGGTCTGGTTGCTTTTGCTCATGTCGTAAATGTCACGATGATTCACGAATTCGCTGAGCTGTGCTATTGGAGTGTCCGAATGACGAAGGGAATTATGCAGCGAATCCTTTCAAAACTCATTTCGGGGGCTGCAGGTCGTCTTTTCGTCCCTTGACCATGCTCTTCACAAAGCGCTGTTTTTCATCATCGTTACGTCAGGCCATCACCAAAAGATGCTCCACCAATGACTGACTGCTGCCCAATGCTGTAGAAACGGCACCTCGCCTCGTCCTCAAGACCATGAGATTTTGCCGAGCAGGGCGACTTGCGCTACCATCCGGAAGATCGATTTCGTGTTGGACGACCAACAACCAGAGTCGGGCTTCCAGTCGGAGCACCCGCCCTGTGCGCTATCAGTAGAGAAGGAGGAGGGCCGCCCTATGCTCGAGCTGTTCCGCAGTAGCTTCTCGGGCTTTGTGTCCGGCTTGAAGTCCAAGCCGCGTGCGCTGGAAGACGAACAAATGGGATTTTACGGTGGTATCCTTCTTCTCAGCTGAGTAGAATCCGCATTTGTGTTGGTGGGGCATATCAAAACGGTTGGTAAGTCCGAGCGCAGCTGGGTAATTCCTTTTTGGGCGCCTTCCGACAGTCCAACTGCAGGGCTGTCCGTCTCTGACAAGTTGAAGTGGATCCACTTCAACTTGCACATATGCCAGAGGATAGGGCTTACGATAATGCATTCTGTTCCATATCAACGTTTTCGCCTAAAGGTCGGCAACATGGCAAGTGCAAAGCCTCTCTCCTCTCCGTCTTTTTGCCACCTCTAACTAACCCCGGCCTCTCTACCCTTCTTTATATATCGTGTAGAACCTCTTTAACTTCGGCGTGGCGTCGGCCGAGCTGCGATTTTCGCTCGAGGGCGAAGGGCAACGCGCCAAAGTGCGCGTTCCTCGCCTCGAAGACGGCAAAAGTGGCGGCAAATCCGTCGAGTTGCCGCTTTTCCGCGACGACGAAGACGTCCGTGGGGTGTTAACCGTGGCAGTGGATGCCGGCAAAAGTCTGCAACACACCGGGTTGAAGTTGGAGCTGCTGGGGCTCATTGAGATCCCGGTGGATCGCAGCGCCGGGGACGAGTTCACCTCCTCGGTTAGAGAATTGCAAGCCAGCGGGGAGGCAATTGAGGGAGAGGCAACTTTCCCCTTTGACTTTGCAAAAGTGGACAAACCCCATGAAAGTTACTACGGCAAAAGTGTGAAACTGAGATACGTGCTTCGAGCAACATTGGCAAGGGGCAACTACGCCAGCAGCCTGGTACAAGAGCAAGATCTTTGGGTGCAACGAGTGGCTCCCCCGCCTCCGGTGGATCGGTCCATCAAGATGGAGGTGGGGATTGAAGACTGTCTCCATATTGAGTTCGAGTATGACAAGTCGAGGTATGGTCTCCAAACGTTTTATTTTTATGAAGTGGAGAAGGATAAGTGAAGTCTAACCTGGGTTTGTAAAACTTAGGTATCATCTGAAGGACGTGGTCATCGGCAAGATCTTCTTCTTGCTGGTGCGGATCAAGATCAAGCACATGGAGCTGGCGATTCTGCGTCGGGAGAGCGTGGGCGCGGGCACTCAGCGACACAGTGAGAGCGAGACCGTGACCAAGTTCGAGATTATGGACGGCGCACCGATCAAGGGGGAAAGCGTCCCCGTTCGGCTGTATCTTTCCCCCTACGCTCTCACGCCGACGTACCGCAACGTGCAGAGTCGCTTCTCCGTCAAGTACTTCCTGAACCTCGTGCTGGTGGACGAAGAGGACCGACGCTACTTCAAGCAGCAGGAGATCGCGCTCTGGCGCAAGAACATTGGTTAACAAGACAACAACAAACCTCCAGATATTCGTTTTTCCGAGCCAGAGCCAGACCAGTATTTCCAGTCAAGCTGTAGCAAGAAGAAAGAAAATAGTAAAGTCAAGTTGCTGCATGGACTGAATGAAAAGAAAAGAACAACATTACGATCCGAGACGGTAAGAGAGACCACTCTTCCCTCCACACCCTCTCGTTGCTTGATGAGTGGTTGGTGTCGACAAAACTCCCACGTAACCTGTCCACTTGTGTTCACCACCGAAGTCTGGCATCAACCACCCAGCGACACTAAGCCCATTAACGGGAACGCGAACGAGAACGGTCACGGCGGCTGCTTCGGCTGCTGCTGTGGCGGCGAGGGGATCGCGAGCGCGAGCGGGACGGAGAGCGTCGACGACTCGAACGACGAGGGGGAGATCTCGATCTCGAGCGTCGAGCTGGAGGAGACCTCGAGCGAGAGCGAGAGGGGGAACGCGAGCGTCTCCCAGCGTCCTCCTCACGAACGCGGACCCTTTCACCGTCCAGATCCGTGCCATCCAATTGCCGGATGGCGCGTCTCATTTCATCCGAAGTGGCAAAAGACGCCGTGCCGTTACCACGTCGATCCACGTCACTGTGGACGACGTCTCCCCCCTTGCGGAGGAAGTCCTTGAGGTCCTGCCAGCTCATAGTGGCGGGGAGGCCGCTGATCTTGACTCGGTATTGAGTGCCGCGGGGACTGCAACATATAAAAAATGGTTAGAGAGTGCTAACGCAGATTTAAGTGAAAAATGAAAAGTGTTTAAGTACCGAGCGTCGTCCACGAGTCCCCTTGACATCTCGACGCGAAGGCGGCATCCTGATAACATAGCGCTGTGTCTGGCAGTTAGGTACATTGGTCCATGGGGAGGAGAATGCATGAAATGATTCAGTATTTACCCATGCATGGAGCGCACGGCATCGCTGGCGTCTTCTTCATTGTCGTAAGCCTAAAAGTTGCCATAAAAGTAGAGAAAAGTGATGCCAATCAGTTTTTAGGCTAGTGTTAACACTGCAACACGCGGTTAAGGGGAGCACCCACGATGAAGGCGAAGGGCGGTGGGCGCGTCGGGAACTTGATGCGCACGCTGGAGATGCGCCCGAAGCGCTCGAACTTGTCCGACAGGTCGCGCTCGCGCACGTCCTCCGGCAGGTTTCCCACGAATACGCGCGCCATCTTCGCTCCCGTTTCGACACTTTTGGGCTTTTACCCCATGTTAGTGACTTTGAAGCAAAAAAGCTGTTGCCACACTCTGTCCCCATTTGCACTCAAACTGGCCCCGAACTTGCAACGTTTCTTTATGCGCGTTGTTGTGTTCCATTTGGCGTCTCTCTAACGGCGAAGGCCGTGGAAGTCGGGAGAAGAGTTCGGCTCCCACGCGCACTTAGGCTAGTGCTAACTGAGAAGGCGGAGAGGGTGAGAATGGAGATCGGAGCCGCGCAAGAAGCGGGCCTGCGCATCGACGAGCACTTCGACCGCATCCGCGCCAACCTCATCCGCTGCGAGGAGTGCAGCGAGAACTTCTTCTTCGACTTCCTTCGCCACCCGCGGTAAGTTCATTAGTTAGCACTCTCTAACCGTCTCCAAACGGGTTGCCAATACTTATTGTCGGCTGGTTTGTTTTGCCAATTATTGACAACAGCTATTTCGTCACGCACTTCAAGACCTGCCACCTCAAGAACGTGCTGTACCGCTTCAACGGCTGCTCTGAGGAGGAGAACCAACGCGTGCGCTTCGGTCCACGACGCAAGAAAGATGCCACAGCCTGGTTCGGCCAGCTCAAGTCCACTGAGAAGCGAATGGTAAGGCACAATAGTTTTTTTTCATTTCGGTTATGGTATCTCTAACCTTCTCTCTAACCATTTATTCTTCACTTGTACCTTGTAGATCTCCATGCAAGACAACAAATGGGGCGAAATCGCCGAACGCGAGTGCTGGTCTTGCCGTCTGTAAGTATCTTTATGTTATGAATTATTTTATTGAAGAACCTGTAGTTTATTACTTCGACTACTTACGAAGTAAATTTTTGCTGATACTATGTGTATTTCTCTATCCACAGATGCAAAGGTTCCCGGAAGGCCAGCGACCTGCCTCACGCCTTCGAGCCGAACGAACTGGGTCGTCGGCAAGCTCTTCTGCACCTCCGGCAGTACCACGAAGCAGCCTACAACGCCTTTCTGAGGATGTTGCCAGCGGTGGACAGTTCTCGCGGTCGCCCTCGAGCGTCGGTGAACGCTTCGAGTCAAGCGCAGAGGCTGCAGGTTGACTCAGCAGGGACAGGTTCAGGACAATTGGCAGGCTCTTTGAGTCTCCAAGAAGGTGGAAATGCCGTCGCGACAACGATGAGTCCGGCGGTTGTTAACGGTGGGCAGCCCTCCATCCCGTCTCACGAAGCGGAGCGAAGTCGAATTCGTCGGAAGCGAGCGTCACCCGAAGCGAGGAAGGCGGAGGCGGAGCGCAGCAGACGTCGGCGAGCGCAACTTACGCCGGCGCAACGGCAGGTGGATGCAGAGCGACGGGCGCGTAAGAAACAGAGGATCGAGGAGCGGGCGCGAAGTCGCGCACGCCGTGCCGATGCGTCTCCTGAGACGAAGGAACGAGAGATGCAGCGCTCGCGTGAACGGCGACAAAATGCGACGGAGCAGCAGCGACGACGAGAGGCCCAGCGCAGTCGCATGCGACGGCAGAACGCATCGGAAGAGCAGCGGATTCGAGAGCGGGAGCGCTGTCGACGTCGCTACGAGCTCAAGAAGCAGCAGATGTTGCAGACTCAGCAGACTGGAGATACTGTTGTCTCGGAGGTGCCACCTCTCACACCAGCCACTTCAGTCTCGAACACCTCGACGCCGCCATCTTCCGGTGCGAGCGACTTAGCCTATGCAACAACACCGCCGCTGCCACCTCCAAGAAGCCAACTGCTTCCAGTAGACCTGGAAGGACGAAGCCAACAGCTACAGCAGCAGCAAGCGGGGGTTCGGATGCAGCTGCAGTCGCTCTACGATTCATTGGCGTCGAATCCCCACGTGGAGCTGTAAGCGGGTGATATTCGTGGTGGAGATTGCGCCGGATGGTGCAAACGACGGCGATAGTCGTTGTCAAGCTCGTTTCACCAACTTGGTCTCGTGTCATGGCGTTCTTCGGCTCGAGTGATTTGCTACGTCTCGATCGACACGCTCTATTTGAATAACGTGCACTGCGCTGGGATCTGTCACGATGTGTGTAAAGCTGCAAGATACTTTTTTTGCGAGTTTGCGAGAGCAGGCACAGGGCAGTCAGATCACGTGTGAGTATGAAGATGCAATTTGTCATCACTAGTGTACATCCATTTACGTCATTAATAAGCCTACGAGCCTAGAATTCAAACATACCTACTCACGCTCTGCATCGCGTAACTCAGCGACCATTACTTCCTTCTCAGTACGCGTTGGCGGGCGTGTAGCCGTGGTAGACCTGCTCCAGTCGGTCCAAAATCATGTCGGTCGTCGACGCGCGCATCGCGGAGTCAATCGGCCCAGCCGCGCACGGAGACGAGCTCTCGTCTCCACCATTGTCCACCTGGGCGATGACAATCTTGAGCGTCGGGAACACCGCGTGGATCTTCTCCACGGCTTCGGGCGCCGCAATCAGCGCCACGAGCGAGATCATGGCCTCCACCGCGCCGCGCTCTTGCAGACGCCGCACGACTGCAATCACCACCTCCGCCGACGTGATCACGTGGTCCATGATGAACACGTTGTGGTAGTTGAGACTACCCGGCAGTCTGGAGCCGCAGATCTTGGCCTGCACGTCTTCGGCCTGCGAGTCGCTCGGGGAGAGCGACATGTCCCCGAAGCTCACGTAGCCCGAGGGTTGGTCGGGCTCCATCAAGTGGAACAGATCCAGCATGGGGCACCCCGCCGGCTCCATGGAGATGGCGCACGGCGGGTGCTCGAGCGCCACGCCGTCCGACTTGCCGTGGTTGGGCAGGAAGATCTCGACCGTCTTGACCGGCACGAAGGCCAGCGCCTCCTCCATCACGAGGCGCATGAGGCGGTCGCTGGAGCGGCGGAACTCGCTCACCGTGGCGTGTTTCTTCCTCAGCGTCGTGAGCAGCAGCGCCGCCGCGCGGCTCTTGATCTCGTGGACGCCCTTGCTGTCTTGCACTCCGGTCTCCCTCAGCGCCATGGCCGCGGCCCAGCCGCTCTTGCCCAGCTTGGCCTTCATGGTCTTGGGTCGCGGCTTCTTGGGGTGCTTGGCCAGCGGGTTCCCGTTCTTGCGGGACAGCACCTCGTCGCGGTGCTTGTTGAGGTTGCAGATGGCGGCGCGACTCACTTGGTACTCCTTGGCCAGCGCCGATTGCTTCTCGCCCTGCTCGATCCGGGACAGGATGGCGCGTCGGTCGATCTCGCGAAGGTAACGGGACGACTTCTCAACGGGAGCGAGAGTGACGGTGATGATAGGCTTAGAGGTTGAAGAAGAAGAGCAGGAGGAAGAAGAGGAGACTGAGGTAGCAGTGGAAGAGCAGGATGAAGGCTTGCAGAGCACAGAGGAGGAGGAGGACGTTGTAGGCGCGAGCGCGCGGGCCACGGCGCTGGCGGCCGCTTGCCGCGCCTGCAGGTCCCGCGACGGCTTGAACACTGAGCTGCTGCTGCTGCTGTTGTTGTTGTAGAGCTTGGGGCGCTGCTCCGGGTCGCTGCCGGGGCTGACGACTGGAGACCGCGGGGACAGCATGAAGGCGTCGTCGGGGCTGCGCTTGAGCTGCAGCATGGACGACAGGCCCGGCAGCGACGGGCTGTGGCTCCGAGGCGGCGGCGGGCCGACCACCATGTGGCGCTTGGCCCCGTCCGGGCTGGACACGGCGTAGCTCTTGGCACCCGGGTGCAGGTTCTTATACGTCGGCGCGTACAGCTCGGCCATGCTTGGCTCGGTCGTGTGTTGTTGTTCTGCTGGAGGACCTGCGCGTTAAGGCAACGTTTGCTAAGTGAAGTGGAGCCGGCGGCGCTGGGTGCAGAGCGCATCTCCGCCCCCAGACCAGCAGCGGCTAGGGCTCGAAACTCACGCGGGAGGCAGAAACGGGGGGCGTCGAACTCAAACAACGGCGATCCCGTTACACGGCGCTGGTTTGACAGCGGGCTGGCTTAGGGGCATTTTTTCAGCACTAATGAAGGGAAGGGAAGGGCGATCCATGGCAGCGGTTTCCGCCACTTTTTGGCGGTCCTTCCTTGCGAGGCTGGTGCGGCTGGAAGGCGGTAGTACCGTCCAAGCAGCGGAGTTTTCTATTGTAAAAATAAATTCACCACCAGCGTGATCGCGCATACTGTAACGAAGACCTGACTGGCTGCATGGGCGGAGCTTTGGTGTGCCTCGTGGCGCGCCGGTGGCCATTGATTGCAGCGGTGTAGTCTTGCATTCGTAGCTGGCGCGCCGATCTCGGGAGCAACGCGAGCTGGACGTTGACTGAAGTGCGGGTTTACTCGTCTCTTATCGTCAATTTTACATCAAGACGCCAGCTGGCCCTGGCTATCCCGATACGAGGGGGATGCGCCCGTTGACTCACTTGGTGATTGTGTGCATACCGCCCCTGTCGAAAACGATCGCTGCAAAAAAGCACGCTGTTAACACGAATTTCCACTTAGCGTGTCCAAGAAGAACCGCGATACTCCAAACAATGCTTACAACCTTCCCGCAGCGACCGACCCACGCCTTACGAGTCACAAGTACACCTCGCCGCCGATAATACGCCCCGCAAATATCACCGCTCGCAGCCCCTACTTCCGCATAGACGCCGCGCTAATGTTCCTTGAACCCACGCATCTAACGGTCCAGCTGCGAAAATTTCCACTGATGACCCTCTGCGCTGAAATAGTATTCGTCCCATGACTTCCATCTATGCGACATGCCCTCTGCGCTGAACTCGAGTCGGGTGACTCTAGGGATGGGTAGCAAAAAAACAATCCGATTCGATTGATTGGATCGAGACGGATCGTGATCGCATTTAATCGGATTGGCTGATTTGTAGATCAATGCCGACTCGATCGGATTGGATCGGATCGAGTCGACAAAGCATCGACATAGCTGACGAAACACGGACTCATTGGTTGAAATTGGGGTGATATTGCCCCTCGCAGATGTGATGCTATCAATAGTCGATATCACAAAACAAAAACGAAGAGGCCTCCCACTTCTCGCCACACTTGCGACTGGCCTCGCAAGTTGCGAGGCCGGCAACACCCAGAAGGGCGTTGAGGTGTTCAAATGCCCCAAGGCGACCAACATCTGCAAAGAACCCCGAGCCGATGCTGGACGGCATGTCGCTGTACGACGCGGCCTGCAGCTTCACCAACCGGAACGGCACGCCGCAGCCCATTCCGACCAACGCCAATGCCATCTTCTCCCACGGTCTCATCCACACAGGTTCGTGCGAGTTCTGACTCGGCGACAAGAAGTTGCTGTACGCGGACGATTGCTACAGCGAGTACAGCCACTTGAACGTCAACGTCAAGACCGAGTCCTTCATCGACTACTTGTCGTGCGAGAACGGCGGTTGCAAGATGATGCGCGCTTCTACTCGATCGGCTGCCAGACGCTTGACGACACGAAGACCGTGTGGCAGACTTACAGTACGTTGGTTGCCACTTTGTGTATGTGGTGGTGTGTGTGTGAATAGCTGAGCTAACGGGCTTTTGTGTTGCTGAATGCGCTCTACTGGCGAGCCAGCCTTGCGCTGCGGATTGCGTCATTGCTGGTCAAGTGAAAGCGTCACGCTTTAACGTGCCGCCTTCGAGCAGGTTCTGGACAAGCTTAACTACAACATGCAGCGTGAGAACCAGCGTCGCAGCTCGTGCAACAGTCGATTCTCGGTGGGCGTAGCAATGCGCGAGCGAGATCCGCTACCCGCCACAGCTCCGACGGCCAAGACGACCCTGTACAAGGTCCGTGCCAGGGGCACCGACGTCTCCGTCCGCGTGCCAATCACACGTCACGGCTCCACGAACCAGGCGCTTGCGCCCAAGTGCATGCTCAAGGCTCTGATCGTTGAGAACTACCTGCAGAAGAACGTCTTCTACGAGAAGGGTATCATCGCCGAGTGCGACCGCCCGATTACCTTCAAGCTGCGCGAGATGTACCAGGAAGCCAACCAAGCAAGTGGAAAAGACACCTCAGTCATTGGCATTGTCCGCAGAGGAGACAGGTGGGTCGTGTAGGAGGATCTCGAGGAGCTGTAGGAATGTTTTGCTTCCAAAGTGCAGTTTTGTCAATCAATGGATATCATTACGTTCTCGTTTCAGAAAAAAAAGCTTGTAAAGTGGTTGCAAGTCTGCACAGAAGCGATTTGGCCTGTTGTTCGGGATTCTTGTGTTATGCCTTTCGTAGGCGTGCTGGGCACGAGTGAGTGACGCAGGCGTATGGAAGTTGACAAAAATGTCATCAGTTTTGGTATGTTGCAGAGGAAAATAGATGATGGCTTTTACATTGCGGAGAGTGCGCTGATTGTGCGGAAGCCGGTAAAATCGGAAATGGAGGGATCAAGAATAATTGAAGACACTGGCCGCGTTCGAGTTGCAAGCAAACGCATTTGTGTACTCTCAGAGCACGCTACTATAACAATTTGCGACTCAGTGGACTCGGGACAACCTCGAGACTTGCATGTGCTTTAAATACTAGGTTCACGGGCTGGTCTAGCGTAAGACCTTGCCACTAATTGATTAACGACGCTAAAACCAGCCGACTCGAGTCGACAAGACATGAATTCGCTGATATCGCGAAGCAAATACGCTCATTTTCGTGAGCACAACCCGGCTTGAAGCTGCAAATTCCGTGGTCAAAAGTCCAACGCGAGAGTTTACGGTTCGAAATTATCGCATCGCCACCACAAACAAACATAATCACCAGCCAATAACCAGAAAACAATACAAGATTTTCAAAATCTAATGCAGCTGATGCAGATACAGATAAACTGGAAGCCACAAAATACCAAGCACCAGCTACCCGGTTCTCTCTGTTGCTGGGAAATCCTACAGGTAATGATGACCACCATAAATTAATTGTCTTTGCTCGCAAGAAATAGCTCGCAGTCTCAGCGAGGAACCACTACCTAATCGCCCCACTGCTCGTTTTCCGCGATTTTCCACTTCAGCTTGTTGAGACGGCGACCCGCTCATATTCGCCCTGAAACACGGTGAGGGCACCATCACTTCGACATCACCGAAAGGATTGAGTTGTCGTGCTCTGCTGCGTACTTGACATTCATTACGGCGTCAATGCGCCGGTATCGATCAAGTCGTAGGACATGTGCAAGATTGTCATTTCTAGCGACGCAACCAACGTGCAGTCGCTTAAAATTTGCATTTCGCGTCGCCATATCCTCCTGCGTCACTACATTTCGCACGAAACAACAGCCAGATAGGCTTTGAGTCCGACAACCGCATTTCGGTAGCGATATCTGCGTTGAAAACATTGTTAACCTGCCTGGATAAGCAGACATGTTTGACAACAGTGGCCCCGCCACTTTGAAATCGCACACAATCGGGCACAGTTCCGCCTCGTTTCCCCTAGTCGTTGCCCCTCTTCAGTCGCAAAATTATCAGGCGACGCTCCGCCTCTGCGGAGACTCTCGAGCAGCGCTTCGCATCCCTGATTCAGACCCCATGGAGTGATAAATTGGAGCTGCTTCGATTGGAGATACACACCTTCGAACCACTTCCAATTGCGGCAGCACTTCGCCTCGTTGCGTCGGGTGTCCAGGTGCTAAATTATCGGACAGCGCTTCACCTCGTTGCGATTGAGCAATTGGAGATAGCTCCTCCTTGTTTCGTTAGAGTGACCGCCTCACAGAAGTTGTGGTGGTTTGAGCAGCGCTTCGCCTCGTTTTCCACGGCTTCGAGTGCGGTGTAACTTCACAGCGGCACGATTATCCGCTTGGCACTGTGCGCCATGTGAGCGAGTGCATCATGCCACGCGATGTCGATACATGCTCTTCGAGCTCGTCCAAGGCGGCGAGCCAGACTTCGTTTGAGATGATTCTGCGCAAAAATGGTATTGTGTTCCTAGAGTGCAACACGGTTGCTTTACAAAAGATTACCACATATCAAGTTGCAGCAGAAGCGCTATGTACTCGTCATTAATGCAAAGAGCTCATCAAAGGCGAATTGGATCGAGAGCATTATGAACGATTGCGACTCTTACAGACTTAAAGCCCCTGCGATTACCAACACACTAGCTCTCAGTCCAATTAATGTCTACTGGTTCAGCATGGACATCACCCGAGGTAAGGTTGAAGGCAAGAAAATGCTGCAGCTCCATGATCGCTGTAACAGCATCGTCAGCAAGTCGAGCTCGTCGAGGCGTAATCGTCTTTCCAGATGCAGAGAATGCTTCCTCGCTAGACACCGAAGTAGCCATCACGGCCAAGTAATCGCGCGCCATCATCTGAATTCGAGGAAATGATGCAGCTTCGTGCTTCATCCAGTTGCACACAGCTCGACTGCCTGTCTTCAGGTTCATGGACTTATCCTTGTGGTCAAGCCAGCGAGACAACTCACTTGAAAATGACTCACCACTGCTGTTTGCGTGCGACTCGTGCCCAATGTGCTCATCAATAAGGCTGTACAGCGCGTCCTCGTCTTCAGCTTCTTCTTTCTGCTGCTGGGTTTTCTCCGATTGTTTTCTACGCAGTTCATTTTGCTCATATGGGGCCCGATACACGCGTTCATACTCCGCTTCGACTAGTTTTTTCACTTGCTCGACATTGACGTCAATCTTGACGAGGAACGACTTCGCACGAGGGTCGAGAACGGCAGCAATTTGAGCATCATCGGTTTTGACGAGCGGGATATACTCGTCAAGCTTCTTCTTGAACGCGCGAGCAAAATCCTTGGTGTACCACGAGAGAGCAGTCTCCGCCGTCTTGCCCGCATGCTTCAAGACGAGATGGAAGACAACCAACGCTACACCAAAGGTTGGGTAGTTCTTGCTAGACATGAGTGTAGTCGCGCCCTTGATCGGTCTCAGGAAAGCTATGAGCTCATTAAGATAGCCCCAAGTCGTGTCCGGGATGGGAGCAGCGAGACGATCGCCAGGGCCTATTGAAAGGCATTTGTAGCCATCATGACGGCCACGAATCCGTCGCTGTAACTCCCCAATCGCTAGCTTCAGCGAACGAGCTGAAGAAAGCATCGTTAAGGTGCTGTTCCACCGCGTCACAACGTCGAGCTCCGGCGATATAAAGGTCACATTGAGTGCCGCGCAGACATCAGTCAGCGCCTCAAGTAGCGACGGCGACTCCGACAGTTTTTTCAGTATGTCACGGACGACACCAACACTGTCATCCGTGATTGGGCATCGTTTAATCCCTTCCTTGACAGCAAGTTGAAAAACGTGGGCCAGACATCGCACATGAACGACCTTGGCTTGGGATGCGGCAGCTTCCGTAGTCTCTGGCACCCGAAGCCGTCCCTGCAAGCTGGCCGTAGCCCACAATCTCCTCCTCCAGTGATCTCATCAATCATTGTTCCGTTGTTGGCGGCGTTATCCGTAGTGATCGCCCATAGTTTTGCAAAAACAAATCCGCTCATCGCTCGAATGGTATCGATCAGATGCTGTGCGATGCGGGGACCAGAAGGGGGATACCCCACGCTCGTAAACCCGATCATAACGGACTTAATGACCCACTCGTCGTTGATCCAATGCATGGTCACAACCATGGAGCCTCGTTTTGCCGCTGATGTCCATAAGTCCGTCGTGGCGGATACCCGGCAGTTTTTAACATCTTGAAGAATGTTATGCCGCGACAGCTCCTTTTCGCACCTCCAGCGCGCCATGATCTTCTTTCGAACCGTCTTCCTTGTCGGAGGCACGTAGTCAGAGTGAAGTGTTCTGCAGAAGGAACGAAATTCCTTTTTTCTCCACCAGACTCAGGGAAAGCGCGTTCGCTACGATCAAGGCCACCAGCTGCTTGTCAGCGGCCGCCTTGTCGAACGTGCGCTGCCGCACGTATCGCTCGAACCCAAACGCGAGCAAATCCGTCTGGCGGGCGCCTCTCGTGTCCGCCGGAGACGCATCTTCGTCGCCTCCGTACTCTTCTCCGTGCTGCCGCTTCAGGTGTCGCCGAAACGTAGTATGAGCCACCGTGTTCCAGACCGGAGCTGAGTCGGTGTAACACAGCAGACAGGTGAAGGTCCCATCGTTGTTATCGCGAATGAAGGTCCAGATGTCGGAGCGTCGATTACCAGGAGCTCGCCTTGGTTCACTGGAGGATGAACTTGCACTTGAATTGTCTTGGGGCTCCATGGAATGAAGGTATGCGGAGAGGTGCGTTAGTGCGAGATGGCAAAGACGAACTGCGAGGAAGATTGCTGCACATGCACTATTTCGCATTGCGAAGTTCGCAAGGTCCGGCAGGCCTAAGCCGATCTGATCCGATTGAATCGGCCGATTCGATCGACAACTTCAAGCAGACGCCCAACGTGTGCACACCGGATTAGACCAATTGCTTTACTGCGAATCCGCGACGAATCACCGCCCAGTAATGAGGTGCACTGGGATTCCGTACCGGGGCTCAAAAGGTAGCAGTGGCGCGTCCGTTGTGCTAAACGTAAAGTGCGTGAGCACCCGGTCACGCGCTGAAACGGTTTCGCGCAGCTGTAGTGCGTGCCCAGCAGTAGCAGTAGTAGTAGCAGTAGCAACAGCAGCGGCGGCGGCGATGCGTGGGAGGCGCCTACCGAGTTTCAGTCGCGTAACGTGAGCTGGTGGAAAGCTGTCGAGGTGGTGTTGGCGCCGCACACCGCCGAGGCGCAGACCGTGACGGTGTCCGCGAACGCGACGGTGGTGGACTCGGTGTCGCCGCGCGCCGTGGTCGTGAAGATGTGGCATGTAGTTCGGTGTATCCCGGGCTCGCGCTCTCTGGTGTCTTCAGCCGTGATGTTGCAGCCGTTGGTGGTGGAGAGCAGAGAGGACGAGCCGGCGCCGCTGTCGCTGAGGGCGTTGAACGTGCTGATGGAGTCGCTGGACCAGTCCGCGGTGTGGCCGGAGTACTGGTCCGTGGACGTGGAAGTTCACGGGCGCGACCTCGGCGTTTCTGTGAGCGGCTTGGCTCTCGACGGGAATTCGTCGGAGGTGGAAGAGCGTGGTGGGCGTGTCGAACGTGTCAGCGGCGACGCTGGCTTGGAACGCTTTGTCGGGTTATAGGTCTGCCGAGCGGGCCGGTGGCGTCGTTTGCGGGTGGCTTCCGTGGGTCTATAGTACTGGTGTTCGGCGACATGCGCACTGCGGCACTAAAGGCGGAGATTGTAACGGGGTTACATGGAATAGTGACCCTGTCACTATTCCGGGATGGCTACATCGGTCACTCCCCTGGATAGTGACCCAAGTGGCCTCAGAGCCAACAGATACATTTTGTAGGACACAAACTATAGGGAACTTAGGATTTGTATGCAGGCCAAATCTGTACCAACCTGTAAATACATTCAGTCTTAGATCTACCGCTTTTCAAGTCAAGTCGTCCCCTTCAGACCAGGGACACGTGAACGGCTGTTCACTTGGAGTTCGTGTACTCCTGCTTCCTCTGTTACGAAGTGCTGTGTGCCCCGTCACACTTGGTAGCACTTGTAGTCAATCCTACGCCTACGCGGGTAGATTGGACTACCTGAATCCTCTGTGGTCTCATCGAGTGAGCCAAGATGGATCGTACGGAGTTTCCCCATCTGAACGACTCGCAGTACAAGTCCGTTCGTAAGATGGCAGCATCTTTGGGACAGATGCCCAGCGTAGCTTAGCGGCGGCGACGCCGGCTGAGCAGGTTGAGCGTATCAACGCGTTCGACACCTACGAGCGATGGCTCATCGCCCACGTTCAAGGGCTGCAGGACACTGCGGCCGCGCCGAAGCCGGTGCAACCGAAGCCCCTGCGGCCGCGCCGAAGCCGGTGCAACCGAAGCCCCTGCGGCTGAAGGTTCACCCCTTCAAAGGGAAGGGAGGAGAAAACCTTCACTTCTGGGTTCGAGAGGTTGATCTCGCGATGGACGCGGCTCTCGTCTCGGACGAGCGACTCCGTGTCGCCTTTGCGCTCTCCAACCTTAGTGGTCGCGCTAAGAGTTGGGCGTATACGCGCGAAGCGACGACGCCTGGATGTTTCGCATCATGGTCCCAGCTGTGCGAGCAGCTGCGGGCCGCGTTTCTCCCGGCGAACTACGAGTACCGCCAGCGTTCGCGCTTCCTCGCCTGCAAACAAGGAAGGCGCGAGCTGCATGAGTACATCCAGGAGATGCGAGTGCTCACTGCCTCTTTGGTGGGGAACCCCCTGCCTGAACACATCAAGGTGACCGTGTTCATGGACGGTCTGCGTGTCGGTCCTGCCCGCACGCAACTGTTCCGTGTGCAAGCAAACACTATGGAGGAGGCGATTCAGATCGCCCTCCAGGAGGAGTACAGCCACAAGCAGGCTCGTACCCCCGCCACGGTATGGCAGAGCAACCCTGCCTCTGGCGGTGCGCCTAATGGAAACGCCGGCAATGGAGCGATCAACGGGTCGGTTCCCATGGATCTGGGCATGGCCGAGCAGAGCGACATTCGCTGCTACGGCTGTGGCAAGCTTGGGCACATGAAACGTGCTTGTCCCGCGGGAGGACTGAAGAAGAAGTTCTCTTCGAAGCCCTTTGGCTCTAGGGGTCGCTGGCAGAAGCCGCGCCCCAGAAACCAGGGGAACGCCGGACACCAGTAGGGGCGGGGCGCCCTACTGGGGAAACACTAAGTCTTCATGAGGGGCGTGCGGGTGGCGCACACCATGGGGACTTAGCCCCTGAGAGTCTCTGTACTCTTGAAGCGGAGAAGGGCAGCGGTGGGCTGCTTGTGGTGCACGCGAGTGTACCGGGATACGATCATCCCATGAGAATCTTGATCGACTCTGGGGCGTTCAAGAACTTTGCGCGCCGCCAGACTGTCGCACGCAATCGCGACAAGTACGCCGATGCGCTACGAGGCAGCTAAGGCAACGGGCTGGTCTCGGTAAGACTGGCCGACGGTACGGTGGTAGAAGTACCTCGGGTCCACATGGACCTCACTGTCAAGTTCGAGGACTTCGACAGCACGGAGCCGTTCTTGGTCCTTGACATGGACAAGCACGACTTGATCCTTGGTATGCCGTGGCTGGAGAAACACGAGCCTTGGATCGACTGGCGCGGCAAGGCCATCGGGGCCAGCCGTCCCCCACGGCCTGACAGAGCTTTGGTGAGTCATGTTCCCACCTCTGGCAGCAGCTGGGGCGCCCACGAGGGCCGCCAGGGCGCAGCAGCGTCTAATGAGTTCTTGGGGTCCGTCGAGACTGACGACGACTGCGACCGGGCCGGACAAGGCCTGAGAGTGGAGGTGCCGGACAGCACCTAACGTAGGTCCACATGCGGGTAACGAAGTACCGCAGGCAGCAAGGGCTGCTGGAGAAGGCGCCGCTGGCGTTGGCGTGGGTAACCAAGTTCCACGCGAGGTCACTCAGACCGTAACTGATGAGGAAGGCACTGCAGGCGCTTCCGATGTGGGTAACATAGTTCCACAGGAGGTCACTCAGACCATAACTGATGCGGGAGTCGCTGGAAGCGCTCCTGGTGTGGGTAACCAAGTTCCACACGGCGAGGTGGGTAACATAGTTCCACCCAGCAAGGCGGGTAACGTAGTTCCGCACGAGATCGAGAAGATCGGTGGTGCCGTCAAGGCGGCGCCACGAGACGAAGACACCCAAGGGTCACGTCGTAAGCCGGGCCTAGTCGTGTGGCCGACGACGCCAGTCGCCAGCGACTCCGAGCCTCCAGCCAAGGCTCCAGCCGCCGAAGAGTGTTATCACATCTTCGACGGCGTGACCGGTAGTCGGGTCAAGACAGGAGCTGTCGAGCTTACAGCTCTGCCCGAGGTTTCAGAGTTGCTGAACCTTGAGGAGCTCGCCATGGAGGACTTCTTGGCCGAGCTAAAGGCCGGGGAAATCGCAGAGTTGGTTCTCCTCCGACCGGAGTCCACGTCGGCCGAGTTGAACTCGTCCTCGGTCATGGACCAGGCAGTCCTGGAGGAGTTCCAGAGACAGTGCGCGTCGCGCATGGGCTCTGAGATTCTTAAGAACCCCCGGGACCCGGTGTACCCCTTGGTGAAGGAGTTTGAGGACGTGGTGTCCAAGGATCCACCGTCCAATCTCCCTCCGACAGGGGAATCAGGCACGAGATCGATCTCGTGCCGGGCACGAAGTACTGTGTCACGAGGCAATGGCCTCTTCCCCGGGAGCAGTGTGAAGTCATTGATGCCTTCTTTGCCGCCAAGGCGAAGGCAGGCATGGTGCGGGAGTCGAAGTCCCCGCACTCGACGCCTACCTTCTGTGTTCGCAAACCGAACGGAAAGTGGCGTCTGGTTCATGCTTATCACAAGCTGAACAGCGCGACAGTGCCTGAGCAGACACCGATCCCGCGCAAGGACGTGTTGCTCAACAACGTGGCCGGCTGCACGCTGTATAGCGCGCTGGACCTGGTGGACGGATACTACCAGATCCTCATGCGCGAGAGCGACATCCCACTCACGGCTGTGAGCACGCCGAGCGGTATGCTCTAGGAGTGGTTGATCATGCCTCAGGGACTTTCTAACGCCCCGGCAACGTTCAATCGCTTGGTCACACAACTGTTCCGACCTTTGCGTGCGTTCACACAGACGTACTTTGACGAAATCTTCGTCCACAGCCGGGCCGAGGCAGGCCAAACGGCCATGGAGGTGCATCTCCAGCACCTTCGACGTGCGTTCGAAGTCATGCGGGCGAACAAGCTGTACGCCAACATCGACAAGTGTGTGTTCGCAGCTGAGGAGATCAAGGTCCTGGGCTGCTTCGTCAGCAGCGCCGGGGTCCGGGCGGACCCGGAGAAGGTGAAAACCATCGCGGCTTGGCCGCCACCTCGGGGGCAGAAGGACCTACGACAGTGGTTGGGCCTCGCTAACTACCTGCACAAGTATAGTGCAGGCTACGCCGAGCTGGCACGGCCCTTATCGGATCTCCTGAAGAAGGATGTCGACTGGCGCTGGGAGCGTCGCCATCAAGATGCATTTAACGACATCAAAGCGAGGTTACAGCGCGCGCCAGTCCTGGCATTACCGGACGAGACGAAGCCTTTCAGCGTAGTCTGTGATGCGTCTGACTACGCAATTGGCTGTGCGCTATTGCAGGCCGACGATAAAGGCCGCGAACGGGTCATCTCGTTCCAGTCCAGGCAGCTCAAGGCAACCGAACGGAACTATCCAGTCCACGTCAAGGAGCTACTAACCATGAAGTACGCTCCTGGGCTCGACGCCCTTTGTCGTTTATACAGACCACGCGTCATTGCGGACTGCCGTCAACACGCCGCATCTCTCACAGCGGATGGCGCGTTGGCTGTCATTCTTCGCGGAATACAACTTCCGTGTCGAGTACAAGCCGGGCAAGTTGAACGTGCTTGCCGACGCGCTGTCGCGCCGACCCGACTACGAGCTTGCTCATATTAGTCGGGTCACGACGGATCGGTATGATCGCATCAGGCTGGGGTACCGAGCCTGATGCGATCATACAGATCCGATGCCAGTCTCGAACCTCTTGTGCGGTTCTTGGCCGCTGGCTCGGAAGCCAAGGCCGAGTGGCTCACGCCCCGACAACGTGCAAGGCTGCGCCGCTATGAGTGGGCTGACGGTTTGCTCCACTACATGGTAGAGCCCGAGGATCCTCCCCGTATTGTCGCGCCCAACGACGAGGTTCTCAAAGTACGACATCCTGATGGAGGCGCACGACGCTCCATCCAGTGGCCATCTCGGCCGTGAGAAGACGTACGCGCCTGTCTCGCAGATGTTTTGGTGACGTCACATGTACAAGTGGGTCGCCACATACGTCCGTACGTGCGAGACGTGCCAGCGCGTGAAGCCTGTCGGTCACGCCTCGGCACCATTGCAGAGCCTGCCGGTCCCAGCGGACTGCTGGAAGTCGATGAGTCTCGACTTTGTCTTCGGACTTCCGGCCGATGACCGTGGCAACACTGGTGTTGTTGCCTTCGTGTGCCGTCTGAGCAAGATGGTCCACTTTGCTCCAGTTCGTGACACCGTCACTGGCGACGAGGTCGCTCGCCTGTTCATGGACTGTGTCTTCCGACACCACGGTCTGCCCGAGACCATTGTCTCTGATCGAGACCCGCGGTTCACCGCTACGTTCTGGCAGACGCTGTTTCTCCTTCTCGGCACACGACTGTCGATGTCGACGGCGGACCACCCGCAGACGGATGGACAGACGGAGCGCGTGAATCGCGTGCTCGAGGACACGCTCCGCAGTATCTGCGCGGAGATGCCCCGCTCTTGGGCTGATCGCTTGCCCATGGTTGAGT